AAATCCCTCACTCAGAATGTCCAATTCTCAAATAGCTGTAAAGTTTCGCGTGTCATTTAACTCGTGTTGAAATTCGCAACCTTGAAAATGGCACTCTGACCTAAAACAAAGACTTTGACTCACTGGAAAACAAATTAATGTAGTCCACAGCTAGGAAACAGGTAACAAAAGAAAAAAATATGTCTAACATAAAATGGATTCCTCATGTACACATTTAAACATAAAATTAAACAATATATACACATTGAAAATACTTCCAAGCATGCCTAAGAACTCATTTTCCAAAGTGGTCATTTTTCTTGGCGATGAGAGAGACCAGTTTTCAAACAAACTGTAGGGGGAGCTCCAAACCACAGATTCACCTTCATGTTACTGGTTTTACAGTAGCCTTCTCAAGGAACAACTTCTTTGGGTAATTCCAACTGCAGCTGAAAAGGAACATATATGCATGCATTCATAATGCACAAACTTAAAAGATCCCAGGGCATTTGCTACATTTCCCTTTATTTGAATCAGCTCATTCTATATCTTTTTCTTCCCAAGTATTTACTTTTTAAATCTGTCATTTTATATTCCCAATGGACTCATAGCAAAAATTTTAACAATGTGAACAATTTGTCTTTAGTACACATTCCATTTCTGCTTTCATAGCCCCTCCATTCCCAAGCAATGTTCAAGACAGGCTGTTTTAGTGTCTCAATGCATGGAGCTCACCTAGCCTCCCTTTGAGAATATTGCTCATCTTTTAAAGAATTTTTTCCTTCTGATGGCTGTAAACCTTCATCCACGAAGTCTTAAAACAACTGGAACTCAGTTTTTCTTTTCTTTTCTTTTTTTTTTTTTTTTTGAGACGGAGTCTCGCTCTGTCGCCCAGGCTGGAGTGCAATGGCACGATCTTGGCTCACTGCAACCTCTGCCTCCCGGGTTCAAGTGATTCTCCTGCCTCAGACTCCTGAGTAGCTGGGACTAGAGGTACCCACCACCACGCCCAGCTAATTTTGTATTTTTAGTAGAGACAGGTTTTCACTGTGTTAGCCAGGAAGGTCTTGATCTCCTGACCTTGTGATCCGCCTGCCTCAGCCTCCCAAAGTGCTGGGATTGCAGGCATGAGCCACCATGCCCGGCCCAGTTTTTCTTTTTCATTGTGGTAGACCCATTCCAGACACAGACCCATGAGCATGATAGATATTCAATAAACACTTTCTCAATTAATAAAGGCATCTAGCCTTTAGGCTTTCTGCTTCTATCTCTAAGTGCCTTGCAGAGAAGAGTGGGTCCCAAATCATAACGGTCATTGTTTTTCATTGTTCATCATCATTGGAAAATAAATTATTTTCCTGTAAATCATTTTGGGGTCAGTGAGACAATATTTATCCCAACAATATTTGAACATTCAACAATGTTCATTGAGCGTCACATCTGGGTTCACAAGCCATTCTAGGCAGTGGGGATACAGCTGTGACCAAGGCAGAAAAAGATCTTAACTTTCTGGAAATTATATTCTAGTGGGGAATGAAAGACAATAAGCAACCCAAATCGTATCAGACAGTGGTAAGCATTATCAAGACAATTAAAAAATTAAAATAGGACCAACTAATGAAGGATGACTGGGTGGCTCCTTAGAATGGGTGGTCAGAGAAGTTGTCCTTGACGAAGTAACATGTAAACTGAGAAATGAATGATGAGGCAGAGCCAGCCAAGTGAAGATCAGGGTAAAAGCACCCCAGGAAAAGGAATCAGCCATGCAAAGGTCTTGAGTGGAAAAGCAGATGTTTGGATGGTATGGGTGGAGAGTATTAAGCAAAGAGATTGGGAGATGAAGTTAGAAAGGCAACAGGGGCCGAGACACTCTGTAATCCCCAGTAAGGAGTGTGAATGTTTAAGTGCCATAGGAATTCACTGAAGAGTTTTAAGCCCAGGAGTGATAGAATCTGATTTTTGCTTTAAAAAGATCATTGGTGGCCAGGCATGGTGGCTCACACTTGTAATCCTAGCACTTTGGGAGGCTGAGGTGGGTGGATCACTTGAGGTCAGGAGTTCAAGACCAGCATGGCCAACATGGCAAAACCCTGTCTCTACTGAAAAAACACAAAAATTAGCCAAGTGTGGTGGCGAGCACCTATAATCCCAGCTACTCAGGAGGCTGAGGCAGGGAGAATTGCTTGAACCTGGGAGGCAGAGGTTGCAGCCGAGATTGTGCCACTGCACTCCAGCCTGGGTGACAGAGCAAGACTCCATCTCAAAAAAAAAAAAAAAAAAAAAAAAAAAAAACATAGCTGCTGAAGAACGCATTGTAGTAGGTAAGAATGAATGCCCTTCCTGTACTAATGCAATTGTCCCTCTAGGTACGTCACTTAACACAAGAGTACAAACCTTGCAAGTGAAATACACCTGGAGTCTTCCTTGTTTTTATCCCCCACCCCCCAAACTCCTACGGGTCTGTGTTTTTCTTTTCCTTTTCCCTTTTTGCTTTTTAGCAATAGGAGTCTCACTATGTTGCCCAGGCTGGAATGCAGTGGCTATTCACAGATGAGATCATAGCACACCACAACCTTAAACTTCTGGGCTCAAGTGATCCTCCTGGGTTTTTTGTTTGGTTTAGTTTGTTTTTTTTTTTTAGAGACAAGGTCTCACTCTGTTGCCCAGGCTGGAGAGCAGTGGTGCAATCACTATATCTTTGAACTCCTCAGCTCAAGCGATCCTCCTGTCTCAGCCTCCCAAAGTGCTGGGATTACAGGCGTGAGCCAGTGCATCTAGTCCAGGCCTGTGTTTTCTTTTTTTTTTTTTTTTTTTGAGACGGAGTCTCGCTCTGTCGCCCAGGCTGGAGTGCAGTGGCCGGATCTCAGCTCACTGCAAGCTCCGCCTCCCGGGTTTACACCATTCTCCAGCCTCAGCCTCCCGAGTAGCTGGGACTACAGGCACCCACCACCTCGCCCGGCTAGTTTTTTGTATTTTTTAGTAGAGACGGGGTTTCACCGGGTTAGCCAGGATGGTCTCGATCTCCTGACCTCGTGATCCGCCCATCTCGGCCTCCCAAAGTGCTGGGATTACAGGCTTGAGCCACCGCGCCCGGCCCAGACCTGTGTTTTCTAAACCCCGATGTTACATTTCAAATTAAGAACTTCACCTTCTAGGCATCTTTTGCTGCTGCCCAAAAATGAACAGGTAGGAATGAGCATGAGGGAGTGCAAGAGACCTGACGTTGGCATATGCAAGAGGCCAGATGGAGGCTGCTATATTCAGGAAAAGTGTTCATGGCTGGGAGTGAGCACTGGAAGGAAACAGCATCTCAATTCCTAACCTGGTCTTAGTCTACTAGGTGAGCTGCTGAAGCCTATTTGCTGAAGGAATACCTTCCATGCTTAGCCTCCAATCTTTAGTGCAGGGGTAGGTAGGATATTCTCATCAGTTATGCCAAGAATCTTGTATAGCTTTGATTTCCTGATTGTGTGTACAAAATTGTTTAGTTTTTAAACTTTTCCAGTTAAATAAGAAATTAAGAATGTAAAATTTTCACCTTGGCCAAGATTTTCTTGTTATTTCAGGTCCCTAGAAAGCTGAGTATTGAACTTTGCCCCACATGTCAAAAACTCAAACATTTACAAATTCTCTCCCTAAAAAGACTAGATCCTGCTTCCTATATTCACTTAGCTATTACCTTAAGAACTGCTAGAAACTGGGCATGTTAACTTTCTAATATCAGGAACAGCCTCTATGTGGCACTGGCTATGCTTATGACTATGCACACCCCTTATATGTGTGTCTCAGTTATAGCTTCTTAAAGTCTTCTCATCATAACTTTAAAATCTAGGATGTTTGCGAATTCTCCTTACTTGTAAAGCTAAACATTACAAAAAAAAAAGAACTACTTTAGAGATTGTGCTGAATGGGAGCAGATGCCCCTGTTCCCTACCCCACCAGCTGTACTTCTTTTTTTTTTTTTTTTTTTTTGAGACAGAGTCTCGCTCTGTCACCCAGGCTGGAGTGCAGTGGCCGGATCTCAGCTCACTGCAAGCTCCGCCTCCCGGGTTCACGCCATTCTCCTGCCTCAGCCTCCCGAGTAGCTGGGACTACAGGCGCCCGCCACCTCGCCCAGCTAGTTTTTTTGTATTTTTTAGTAGAGACGGGGTTTCACCGTGTTAGCCAGGATGGTCTCGATCTCCTGACCTCATGATCCGTCCGTCTCGGCCTCCCAAAGTGCTGGGATTACAGGCTTGTGCCACCGCGCCCGGCCTCCCACCAGCTGTACTTCTACCTATACTTCCATCACTAGAGTATCCACCTGCTGGATTTGTTTGCTGATGTATCCCTAACACCTAGAACAGAACCTGGCACATAGTAGACACTCAGTAAACATTTATTGAGAGGTTGAATGGATCCGATTTTGACCTGTTTTGCCTCCTGCCAGGACCCCATCTGCACTATATGTCCACCCAATGACCAGCATCTCCAGTGCATCCATTTCTTTAGGCCCAACCCATCATGTTTACGTTCTGAAGAGAGTCAGTAGAGAGAGTTTTGAAGACACAATAGCGTGCCCTGTACAGTTATCTTCCCAGATCTATCTGTAGTAGATCCATGAGAGTTGACAGTAGACCCATGCATATTAGTGCTTGCTGGGGGCAGAAGGAGAGGTGATGATGCAAGTAAGTACTTCAACCCTAAGTCTGAAAAGTTGATGACTACACAGAATCACTTCACCTAACTCCAACAGATATATACACAACAGAGTTTGGGAGAAATGAGAGATCTGGAGGCTGGCTAGGTGGAGGAGGCAACACCTGAATTAGGGCTTTAAGCTAGACCTTGAATAATACGTCATGCCATCACACTAACAAACTCACAGCAAGGCTCCCAAATTTTGGGAAAGTGGCCCCCAGAGCCTTAGACTTTTAAACCAAAGCCTAATGTTTCACAAAGTCTCCTGAGACAGAATCACTAGCAAGCTTGTAGGACCTTTCCGGAAAAAGGATGTATATGGATTCACACAGACACACATCTACGTGCAGAACGTGCCATTCTGTATTTGATGCATAAAACCACCTTGTCCCGGTCTCAGGGCAGGAACAGTGTCATACAGATCTTTGGGTCTTCACTGCTTTTGCACAATGGCTCTTAGAGATTAAACTCTTTTTTTTCCGAATATTTTATAGGTTTTTTGACATTAAAACGTTAGTCTCATCTGGGTGCGGTGGTACACGCCAGTAATCCCGGTACTTTGGGAGGCGGAGGCAGGAAGATCGCTTGAGTCCATAAGTTGGAGACCACAGTGGGCTATGATCACGCCACTGCACTCCTGTGCCAGCCTGGGTGGCACTGAAAGACCCTGTCTTTAAAAAAAACAAAAAGTTAGACTTATGTTCTTTCCTAAGGAATAATATTAGTGTTAGATATTGCCTAATAACTAAGACTACCAATTTTGTGTAGAGTATAATACAAGCTAAAAAATACATTCGAAAGACTTTCTGTCCCCAATTTATAAATCCTGGTTAGTTTAGCTAAGTCTGCAGTTGTACTGGGATCAGCAATCCCTCCTTAAATGCAGCAGTATTGTGAGTGTCATGAGGGGCTACCCCAAATCAAAATAATTTTAAAAGCAAACCTTAGCTTGGTCATTAGTTCCACCTTCTTCCTTGTTCCTTTTCCTTTACCAAGATGGCCGCTGTGTCGTTCGCTCCTCATTGGTCGGATTTTCCGCAGGTGCCGATTCTAGCCCCACCTACTAGCTCTCCATTCCAAGTCCTAAATCATTGGGAATGTAATAGACAGACGAGCGGGAGTGGGCGGAGCGGGCGCCGGATGTGACGTTTCCGGAACCTCCGAGTGTCATCCGCTGGGAAAGGTGGGGAAGGGTCCCGGGAACGTGGTGGTGCAGGGCCTCCAAGCGTGGTCGGACTCTGAAGGGGAGCGGCCGCCGTGAGTGTGGGGCCTGCAGCCTTCTCTCCCCGAGTCCCCTGCCCGGCTTGCCTCGCTCGAGGTACCCGAAGGCTTCGGTCTCCGCGGGCTGGCGCCTGACCAGCCAGGCCCAGCGCTTCCCTGCCTCCTGCGTTTGAAAGATCCCAAAAACCCTGGATGATTGTGCCTGGGGTTGGCAAGTTGGTCTTGAGTGGCTTCAAGAGGGTTCCTCAAACAGTTGTCGATAGAGCCCTCCCCACTGTATATGCCCCCTCCGCTCATTCCTGCTACTTCCTTTCTCCTCCTCGTTTTTCCCCCTCGGTCCTTCACGCCGCCTTTCCCCCCTCACTTGCAGATGCTGCTTCCCCTTTTTGGAATTGCTCAACCGGGTGGTAACCGGCGCCGCTTCCTGGCCTCGGGAGGTGGTTCCTTTCTTAACCCACAAGAACCTCTCCCAAGAGGTACTGAGATGCAACGAGCATCCTCTGTTTCAGTTAACTTTCATGGACTGTGGACTAGGTTTACTAATTACTTGGGGAGGTTTTAGATATGTTTGCGGCTTTCCTAGTCCCTAAAGAGGCCTCGTGAGAGATGGACTATCTCTGCCTCCTTAGTAGTCCTCACGGCTTTTGTGCTCTTAGTGAGGGTGTTTTAGAGGGGAAGCTTTGTGAAAGAATTGTGATCCGAATATTGAAGAGACCTAAAGAGGGAATTGACTGAGAGAAGACTACCCCTGAGGGAAGAGTTGTAGTAGAAAAGAAAAACTGGATAGACAAATGAAACTGAAATGTGAGGATGCCTGGGCAGATTGGAATCCTGACTGAAGCAAAAGATCTCTGTTGGGGAGGGCCAGTTGCCACAGGGCCTTGAATTCCAAGATTTATTCTACTGTAGTTTGTATATTCTAGAGCATACTGATTAGGGTCTGCTGTAATGCAATGTGTGTCAAATACCCAGATTTATTTTGGAGATGACAGTGGCGATATCTGGTTGGAATTTGGAGTCTGATTCTAACAGCAACTATATCTAGAAAGACTAGAATTACTGGAGTTTTGGGACCCCAGGGGTTTTTGCAATGCAAGTTACCATCGTGCCTTTTTGTTATTCAGAGTGTTTAGTCTATGAAGATGAGTAAATGTTTTCAAGATTCAAATCTCTTGCCATGATAATGATAAATGAATGATTTTATAGATTGACTATAGTAGTTTAGTGAGCAGAGTTACAATTATGAGCATTAATTCCCAGACCAGTTCCCCTAACTCACCTTGCGCTCAAATATGAAAAAGGACACCACAGAAGATGTCAGTTACTCTCAGATTAGATAAAAATGGTCAACCTTGAAGTCAGTGAACAATCCTCACGAAAGTTCACTGAGTGCACTGTGCCAGGTACTGGGGTGGAGGTATGTGGGTATCTGGAAGGAGAAATAATAGAAAATAAAAGATGCTGTTCCCACTCTTACAGTGCTGTGGGTAGAGTCACTTAATGGCAAGAATTTGATTAACTTGAACTGAGCTTTTGGTTGGCCCACTGTGGTTCTACTCCTTATAACACCTAATTATGGCACAGGGGTTGTACGTTTTCAAGTCTGCCAGTCCTCTCATTGTTATGATTTGGACTTCCTTGAGGGTCTCAGCCTTCTTGTAGGAAAGTCCTTATTTAATAGGCACCACAGCATTTGGTATGTTTCTCTTATACTTTCTTCTTAAGATAGAGGTCTGTGAGATAAACTGTAAGACTGTGCTGGGATGATGGGGGCAATGGTATTCATGCCATCTGTTTTTTCTGTCTCAGAACTTGGTCCTGATGTCTGACCATGGAGATGTGAGCCTCCCGCCCGAAGACCGGGTGAGGGCTCTCTCCCAGCTGGGTAGTGCGGTAGAGGTGAATGAAGACATTCCACCCCGTCGGTACTTCCGCTCTGGAGTTGAGATTATCCGAATGGCATCCATTTACTCTGAGGAAGGCAACATTGAACATGCCTTCATCCTCTATAACAAGTATATCACGTAAGACACCTACAGTTTCCTTTTTCCTTTCTGGTGACTGGTGCCTTGCCTATTTGGCTCAGAATTGCTAAAACCACAGAACTTCACAATATCATCAACATTAATCATTTTTGCTGGCAACTCCTACATATTGGCTGTCCTTGCCATTCAAAGACATGAGTGCTGAAGGTGTTATTTTCATGACTCAGTAATTTATGAGTAAGAGACTTAGTTCTTTGGCCTATGCCCACATAGCCCAGCTGTTAGACAAAAGAGTTGGTGGTTAAACTAGACATGTTATGTACTGATGAATGCTTTTACTGTTCTCTTTCTACTAAAGCAGCCAATCATAGGATTATTGTTGGGGTCTAGCAAAGCCGACATTCCTCACTTGTACTTATTTTGTAGCAAATTTAGTGATACAGGAAAAAATTTTTTCCTCTTAACCTTTATCATAATCATGCAAATCATCAAATAATTAGTAACTGCCTACAGTTCGTGTGACTCATCATAATAAGACCTTTCCCTTGAGTTGTTTATCATCTTAGGGTAGGCAGCATAAGTAGAAGATTTCAGTACTATTAACAGCAAACAAATTCTAAAACTCCATTGACAATGAAATGATACGTAATTTAGAAAGGGAATAATGTTAAAGGTCTTTTTATCATTTCTAATCTTGGTCTTTCACAATACCAGAACTTTAAAAAAAATAATTACAATGTATTTGGTTCTTAGTAGCTCACAGTGTAGTTCACCTGCATAATTTCATTGGATCTTCACAGTTCTGTATGCATGGAATAGGGCACACTACCCTACATTCTACATATGAGGAAACAAACTCAGTGTTTGGTGATATGCTCATGTTTGAAGTGACAAAACCTTGGTTTTCTGACTCCTAATTCAGGATTTGTTCTACAACATAGGTCCTGTTCTTGTTTTCCATTTAGTAATGTTCTAGAGTCAGAGGTAGTCTTTTGAGATCATAGTCATGAGTCATACTGGCTGTTTTTTGGTTTTTTATTTTACTACTGATTTTTGAGTAGGTAACATATATATAGTACAGAATTCAGAGGCACAAAAGAATAATTATAGTTAAAAAGTAAGTCTCGGCCAGGTGCAGTGGCTTTCGCCTGTAATCCCAGCACTTTGGGAGGCCGAGGCGGGCAGATCACCTGAGGTCAGGATTTCAAGACCAGCTTGGCCAACATGGCAAAACCCCATCTCTACTAAAAATACAAAAATTAGTCGGGCATGGTGGAATGTGTCTGTAATCCCAGCTACTTGGGAGGCTAAGGCAGGAGAATCGCTTGAAACCAAGAGGCAGAGGTTGTAGTGAGCCGAGATTGTGTCACTGCACTCCAGGACTCCAGACTAGACGGCAAAGCAAGACTCTGTTTCCAAAAAAAAGGAAAAAAAAAAAGTGTCCCCACACACTCCTCTTTCCCCCCAAACCCTCGGTTCTCCTCCCTAGCGACAATCACTCTTAGTAGTTTCTTAGATATCTTCCAAGAGATGATACACACATACCAGTTTTATCACATTAAGTTTTTGATCACATACTCCTCTAAAGCAGGGCTTTTCAATTTTGGCCCTGTTGGCCTTTTGGACTAAATAATTCTTTGTGGTGGGAGCTGTTCTGTGTGTTACAGAATGTTTAGCAGCATCCCTGGTTTCTGCTCACTAGATGCCAGTATGCCCCCTCCCCACAGTGTGACAGCCAAAAATGTCACCAGACATTATCTGATGTTCTCCGAGGGGCAGGATCACCTCTGTTTGAGAACCAGTGCTCCAAACAAAAGTATGTGGAAGAGTGGACTGTGTAGGATTCATATTGTAATTGTAGAGTGGAGAAATGGGACTGCTATTGTCTTTTTTATTTAGAATTGTTGCCTGTGTTAGGAGGAGAAAACCTTAGACAAGTTAAATTTAACAGAGTTTAATCCAGTAGAAAAAGGTTCAGGGAACACTCAGGACCAAAAGTGGTGCAGAATGTTCCACCCCATAGTGGAGGTTGTGCAGGTTATATTTATAGTCAGAGAAAAGGAAATGAGATACAGAAATAGCCTGATTGGCTACAGTTCTTTGTTTGCCTTATTTGGTCATGTTTTGGCAGCCTTTAGCCTCCGATTGGCTGGAGGTTTCAGCTGCTATGATTGGCTGAGACTCAGCTATTTGTTATGCTTGTAACCTAACTCTTACGTTAAGTTACAGTTTGTTTATACATTAAGTTAGGTTACAGTTCACTATCTTTGGAGGCAGCTTTAATTTAACACCTGTTTCCTTAAAGATCTGTAGTTCTTTAATGCCATTATGCCATGTCATGTGGCCTCAGTGTTGTTAAGGTTTCACAGAATTATAATTATATTTCTGCTTCTCTTTGCTATTAGGAGTTTTTCACTCCTAGGCACACGATTTATTTTCCTCAGCAGTTTTTTTTACTCTGTCCTCTTTATATACTCTACTACTGGTAGAAAGAATATTCTTATGTATTTCCTATAAGCTTGTAGATTGTTCTCTCAGAATGAAACCCAGGGGCACAATTCCTTTGGAGAAACACTAATTCAGAAAGTTCAGTAGGATCGTGGAATCACTCTACCAGGTATTTTCTGAAGTGCCTTCAGAATCCTTTTGCCCCACAATAGAAAGGGCTTTCAGGGCAAAGACCATATTCATTCAGTACATATGTATTGAATATACCTGCTATCTGCTTGGCACTGCAGTAGGTCCTGGACAGCAGTGAGTAAAATGGCCCCTGTCCTTATTGGTGTTCCTTTATAGGTATGGGAGAAGACAATAAACAGCAAATAAATACTATTGACCCTTGAACAACACAGAGGTTAGCACCAATCCCCCATGCAATCAAAAATATACATAGTGCTGGGCACAGTGGCTCATGCCTGTAATCCCAGCACTTTGGGAGACCGAAGTGGATGGATCACTTGAGGTCAGGAGTTCAAGATCAACCTTGTCAACATGGTGAAACCCCATCTCCACTAAAAATACAAAAATTAGCCTGGTATGGTGGTGGGTGCCTATAACCCCAGCTACTTGGGAGACTGAGGCAGGAGAATTGCTTGAGCTCAGGAAGTGGAGGTTGCAGTGAGCCGAGATCACGCCCCTGCACTCCAGCCTGGGGACAGAGCGAGATCGTGTCTAAAAAAAAGAAAAAAAATATATATATATGTATAATTTTTGACTCCCCAGAAACTTTACTAATAGCCTACTGTTGACTGGAAGCCTATTGATAACATAGTCAATTATCACATACTTTGTATATTGTATGTATTATGTAC